AGGCTTTATGAAATATGAACTTTTGAAAATTCGAAAAACGATTCGCACGCAATTAGTAAAAACGATGTATAAAGCTTGAAATAAATTGTTTACAGTTGTTATATCAAATATCGTTTATATGTTTCTATTATGTGGCAACAACCAATGCTACTCACACAGCCAATTATCGCATGCATATCTCATAAATAATCTGGTAATGAAAATGTCACGTCAGATGAACTTAAATAAATAAAATGTTAGCTCAATTAGATGGTATCGTTTAACAAAAGGAAAAAAAAAAAACAATCTCACCAAAATTCAAATTAAGTCAACAGAAGTCACCAAAAAAAAAAAAAAAAAAAAATTAACAGTATTCCTGTACCAATAAATCGCCGTTAATGACTGTAAAGGAAAAAGTCGATTTATAAAACTCATAGACTCAATGCATAAAATAAAAATAATTCAATGTTTTATAACGAGGATTTTTTTTTAAATTTAATTATTTTATACGCCAATGCAACGCATAGGCAAAAAGTTAATAGAATCTTTTTCTACCAACAGCAAAAAACAAACAATTTAAATTCATTTGAGCACTTAAGAGCATTTCCCAATGAATATGATTAAATTAACAGATTACGGAAAGTTCGGCGCGAAACGAGCAAGGCTTTAAAAAAGCATCCAGCGAACGAATGAAAATCTTTCGTAACATAATTATTGAATTTTTAATCAACGTTAAGCCGATAACAAGCATTAAAAACAAAAAAAAAAACAAAAAAAAGAAATTCACAAACACTCATTCACACACACTCGCACACACATATGCGCGAATTGTTGCACATACGTGTTACATGATACCTGACAATTGAAAGTGAATTTTGCTACATTATTCTCATGCGCGAGATGTCATTGTATATGTATATGTTGGAAGGCAAAAGAATCAATGCACACACATATATATATATATATATGTCGTTGTGGTATAAAACATGACTGACGGTGTTTAAAATGAATATTTTACATGGTTGATGCAAATGAATGAATCATTAAGCGAATGCGTTTTATATATCAAGTACACTTTAATGACGTTCAGGTTTGTGTATTGAAAAGAAAATCCAACAACAGCAACAGCAACAGCAACAACAATAACAAGTACTTACTTAGCCTATTTGTCTTTCATTCCTTTTTTTTTTTTTTTTATTTTTTTTTTTTTAATATTCATCTCAATCAGGCTTTATACCTTTCAAATCTCTCCGTCCCGCGCATAATTGACGCCACGCAAAAAGCCAAATTGTTTTGCAGTTACGAAATAGGAAATCGAACGCTCAACTCAGTCAAATGGTACAAAGATGGCCAAGAGTTTTTCAGGTAAATTTATTTGTTTATTTATTTATTTATTTTTTTTTTTTTTTTTTTTTTGTTTTAATTGCATTATCCTTATTCTTTTGCGTGCAGCTTGCGTTTGATTTTTTGATTACAGCTATTGTGCATGCTGGATATTGGCATTCCCAGAAAAATATTGATTTCCTTTGTTACTTGTTTTTTTTTTTTTGCTTTTTCGGGTACGCACGTACATCGGTTATTTGTATCATTTCTGTCAATCCCTCTAGAACGCTTTATACATTATGACACAATTTCAATTTGCCATAAATTTTATTTCATTTCCTTTTCACTTTTTACATTCATCCAACATCATACGTATGTAACGGCATATTAAGTTTATAATTCAATTTGTTATATATAAGTAATAGATAACTTGCTCATCCAATTTGCATAATATTGTGTATTAGGATGACTTCCTCACACGGATGTTTATCTTTGAAACTGAAGGATGAATACGCCGTCTGCGAAAGAAAGCGTACACAAAAGTTCAAGCACACTCCATAGAGATCTTAAATATTGAGCTCTATTATTTTCATTTCTTTAGTCAATATAGTGGCAGACGCCAAAAAGTGGCGAATTATGTCTTCCATGAAAATACCTTTGATGTAGTTATCGAATAAAACGAGTTAATGAGCGGGATGCGATGAAAGCTAACTGGAGTAAAGCGTTGCAAGAGAAGAAAAGGGACAAATGACACTGCTATAGTCTAGGGTGTAAAAAACTTAACGAACTTGAAGTTGATCCATAAATTTTTTCCCAGAGTCGCTCTTGTGTGACTACCAACGGACCCATTGACAGTTAACACAATACCGAGATGGAAGTTAAACTTGGCTTGTCCTGTATATCCTTCCATTTATGTTATAGAAAACTTGAGCATATGCGGGTTCAATCCTTATCGTGTTGGAGCAAATTTTATTTACTATTAATCTCTCTCTCTCTCTCTCTCTCTCTCTCTCTCTCTCTCTCTTTTCCCTCTCTCTCTCTCTTTTTCCTCTCTCTCTCTCTCTTTTTCCTCTCTCTCACTCTCTTTTTCCTCTCTCTCTCTCTCTCTCTCTTTTTCCTCTCTCTCTCTCTCTCTCTTTTTCCTCTCTCTTTCCTCACTTCGCTATGATGAATACACCCCTTTAGCAATTGATCATATTAGTTGAATAAATAAATAAAAAAATTTTAAAAAAAACTATTGAAAAACAAAAATTTATTTACAAAAAGATTAAGTATTCAAACGACTATTGCGTACCCATAGCTATGATTATTATGCCGTTTATTTTATCCTTTAATTTAATCCAATGAAAGACAGCAGCACTCCCCAATAAATTACTTATCCCATCTCCATCTTATATATATATATATATATATATTAATGCAGTGTTAGACCGAATTCTTAACTCTATTTAGATGATTTCAAATTTCCATTTACGGACTTCAATATGCTGCAGTGAATGTACAAAGGTTTAAAGGCTTCTTGCAACTTGTGAATGGCCCCATCGACCAATTTACTTGATTATTAAATGGAATCCGGCAACAATGGGAAGGAAAGTGTGACCATCTGTTTTACTTTCTCCATTGCGGATAATTGAAATTTCGACGGCCAGCAGTTGCAGAAAAGCGTTGAAACTAAATTTTCGATATACGCTAATGAAGCATGCACACCCATATACCTTTCAATTGTTTGATCGATTTTATGTGTGAATATATGCTCTTCCTACATACAAAATCATCTCACGGATAACATGGGTAACAAAGATTCGTCCTAAAGTGAAATAGTCCTTTCTCACTTATCTCATTTAAAGTTTTCAATTCTCTTCCTTTTTTTTTTTTTCCTTTTTGGAATATTGAAAATCTGTTGCTATCACACTTGGCTTATACTATTGCCGTGTGTTTCGTGCAATTGCAAAAAATTGCATATTTTTATGTGTGCGTATGTGCGCTCGTGTAATAAAGTTAAAACTGGCGTATATGTCACATTTAATTCAAAAAGTATATTAAAAAATTGAAAATGTAACACAAAGTTGAGTTCTTTTTCTCTTTCCCTTTCTCGCTGCCTTTCTATAGCTAATTTATTTAAAAACTGTATATAATACAAACAAATTAATAAACAAACACTAACCCAATTATGTTTGTATATGCATATGTGTGCATATGCTTACATATTTGTCAAGTTTTTTATCTCGTTGTTGTTATTTTATTTTTTTACTCTCATGTCCAATAAATGCGAGTTTATAAGTGGGTCCCCGACCACTCAATGTTAATACAGCGCGTTGACATTTAATTAATTTATTGTCGACACCATTTGAATATGTCATTTTTGTGTCAGTTACTAAATAAATTTTCATTTTCATAGAATTTTTCATTTTTTCATTCATATTTGCGAATAAAATATATATAAAAATGTCTTTAATTTTTTTTATTTTTTTTTTTTTTTATCAATTTTGCAACAAACTTTTCATTACATGAAATGGCATTAAATAAACAATGCGACCAAATATGATATGATAGCAATAAAACAACGTGTATATATGCACACACATATATATATATATGCACACATACACTCATGCACATAAACATGCACAATGTATATGTAAGTTTTCACTGTAAATAAAATTTTAAAATTGAAATTTAATTAAAACAATATAAATGAAATTTTTTACATCCATCGCTAACAGATTGCGAAGCGATATTAGCCTTCACGATCCGTTTGCTATACGCAGCGCATATGACAACGAATGCAGGATAAAAAAATAGCAGGCATTTTGTACGAACGGACGACCAAAATATTCGGATTGAAAATGTTGGGCTAACGCGTCTTCCATGTTGTTCCGGATGGAGCGAGGAAACCAATGTATTCCGCACTTATTGTGTTTAGTATTTATTTTAATTAATTCTTGTCCCTTACCGCTTACTGCTTGTTTTCCTTTTCTTCCTTTCCTAGAATTTAGTAAATCCCCAATGAAGGATTTTTGCTTGTCTTCTTCTTCTTCCTCTTTCAGAATATAGCAAATTACCAATGAGTTATTCTTGCTTGTCTTCTACTTTCCTCCTTTAGAATTCCGCGCATCAACAGTAGACGATTCACGCTGAGATACGCTGGGTAGAAAACCTTTAATGTTCTTCGTCTGATACATACATGTGCATATATATGTCTACACCAAGCGCATCTGCAAATTTGCAAACTCACGTTGATCTCAAGGAAAATTTTATTGATGTTTACCTTTGTCTTAACTTTCCGACTTAATTAAGGTAGATGTGATAATCTCAGTAGTAGACATATCAGCTCCCATTTGGCTACAAGCGATTCCAACCAAATTTTTTTTAAAATCTGTTTGCCGGAGACGGAATACTTCATCTGCGGGCTGCTTGGCTTGACCTAGCCTTAATCCATTCCACGATTAGCTATTGAAATATATTTTGTTTTTTTTTTTTTGTTATTTCGTCTGTCTCAACATTCATTGAAAGTTAAGGCAACAAGATTGCGTAGATGGAATTTTTTCGGCAAGCGATAATCGGAGTCTTCACAAATGGCAAGACTGCTGTTTGCTGCCAAATAATCTGAAAGACAGGCTTCCACAAAGAATTTCTATGCCAACAATCATCAATGACATACATGCATGTGATGAAACAGAATTCTTATATAAACTACCATCAGATTGCCCTCAGGCCATCAAAAATCTTCATTTACACATTTTGGATTCATTAGTCATAGAGGGGAAAGTAAACATTATTCTATTCCAAGGATTTTCACACTATAAGCAAACAGGCCATTAGTACTCGAAGAGGCGCGAAGCGTAAGGGTTATGTGCTTTTTCGCCAATACTCCATCAATTGTGACTATGAACTATAGGCAAACTTTAAACACAAGTTAATAAAATAGTTTTCAAAGAGCACTCAAGAGCAAGAATTTAATTTTTCATTGTTACATTAAAGAATTGCGTTTTTTAAGTTTTTTTTTGTCTTTTTTCTTCATTTAAAAAAAAATAGAAAGCTAAATTATTTGACTTCCGGTTTTGTGGCTTTTGTGAAAAATCGAAAAAATTGCATTCTAAATTTATATAAAATGCTTTAACATTTCAATTTGAACCAATATATGCTGATTCTGGATATCCAATATATACGTATATATATATATGTATATATATGTATGTCGTCTGCCCAAAGCCGTATTCAAATTTTTAAATTCACAAAAAAATTGTATAAAACCCATTACCAGCATTTATAAAATTCTCACTTTTGCTAACCGCAATGGTTATTTGCAATTTCCCTTAACGTTTGAATGTGTGAATCAATATACATATATATGCATACATTTATGTATCTATGCAACTACGCTACAATCATGGCCCGCAAGACTATGCCACAGTTGATTACAAGCAATTAATGGGTTTTGTCGAAATTTTTAATTTTTATCGATATTTTCTTTTTTAAATCTATTTTTATTCCCTGCATTTTTTTTTTTGGTTTTTAACAATAAGAGCAATAAAAATTTTGCAGTATATTTCCCTTTAAAATAAAAATAAAAAATTCCTTTCAAAAATATATAAAAAAAAATTAAAAACGAATTACGGCATCGAGAAAACCTCCTAAATAAAGTGGGACAAAATATTCAATTAAAATATTTCATAGCTGTGCCGACAATTGGCTTTTAACAGCAAACATAAAATGTACATAAAAGCTATATGCACAATCGTTCGCACACAAAAAGCCAATTCGCAAAAGGAAACATAAAGAAATTGAAATCTAGATAGAAATCAAACAAAAAGGTTCAGATCGAACTTTTATTTCGCTTCCAAGACACAATAAGAAAATCAGAGCAAGGAAGGAATCAGAGGACATTAAACAAGATTAGGCATTTCAAGAAAGTATCATCTCGAGCCCATAGTATTCTACATTAGGTCTGCATTATTGTGGATTGCGGCCTTCTACTCTAAGGCCTTATCTTCACGGCTTGAGTAGCAATTCCGGGTTACCGTTATATGTTTTTGGAGTAAAGACATTGCTTGACAAAGGGAGAGAATAAGAATCGTATAAGAACCAACTAATTCTTCTTCTTTTCATGCACGTAAGCACTAAAACTTGCACTAAAACTACGACAACGAAGATCCTCTTGTTGACAAGCGATCGTCTGAAGCCGTTTGCTTTTAAGCCTGAACAAAGAGAAGTTTTCCAGGTATCGTTTCAATAAAGTAATGAGCACTGAGTAAGAATTTATCAGACCTGATCACAAAAGCTCTGGATAACTGAAAGTTCCTGTTCGGTTATGTATGAAAAGCAGTTTGCATATTTCTCTGTCCGCCTTACTCACAAACTGTTGTTCTAGCTGTTTTCCGACCAATAACAAAGCAGCCCAAGAGAGAGAAGAGAGAAGACTAAACCCATAACCAAATCAAATAAAGTTGAATACAAAAAGGCACTAACCAACAAACCGAACTGAATCTTTGGCAATGGTGACCGTAAAGCGACAAATCAAATAAAAGCGAATTAACGAAAAACGGATAAAGACCATTTGCAGCAACGATATGCTAATAAAATAGCCGGCAAAGCGACAAACAGGCAAAAAAAGGAAAACGAAATCGCTTATGTTATATAAAAAGCAGTAAAATTAAAAAAAAAAAAAAAAAAAAAGTGAAAAACCATAAAAATATTTCAAAAAGAGAGAGAACAAAAAAAAAGAAAAATTTTATATTTTTAATGCTAAACGTTTGAGAACGACGAAGAATTCAATCGGACATACTTACAAACACAGGCATTTAAAAAGTATTTCATGCATAGGTTTACACAGCGCTTGCATATGACAAATGCCGGAATAATGTCGAAAAAAAAAAAAAAACGAATTGCACACAAACACATTCACGCATTTTAACTATTCTCAATGTGTGACTGAGAATTTTCACCGCAGGCCAAAATTCTTGCTACTTGTCTTTTACGTGTGCGTGTGTATATATATGCTTAACTAAAGATAATGGTAACGTATTTGGTGGTGGTGGTGGTGGTGGTGTTGATGATGCGGTTATGGTCGATTCGGTACTTTAGCGTATAATCAATGAAAATCGTCATCAAAAATTGCATGCGGTGTTAAGACATTTCCGTTCTTTTCACTCTCATTCCATTTAGTCACCACCGTCGCCTTTTTCCCACGGATGATGTTTTTTGATTTCAAACGAACCATCTACTAAACGGCTTTGAGGCTGACTAAACGGGATTTCGTGACCAAAAAAAGTCCTTACTTTTCTCTACCGTTTCTCTCTTTGTGTTTTCTTTTTTTTTTTTTAATGCTACCAAAGCATAGAAGAGTATTTAATTTTTCGTTCCACATGACCTCTTTGATAATCGTTGTACACATTTATGGCACCAAAAGTGATGATCCGATTTAACGTAGTTGCTCTATTTTTGTTTTCATTACTTTTTTTTTAGAGAATTTTCTGATTTAATTTCACTTCAAGTTAATACGTTCTTCAGTTGATGACTGACACACACGCTGACCAAGGTGGTAATAACATAGCATCTTTGTATGTTATGGAAAATATCCATAAAGATTTATGAATATATGAAGAGAGTATAATATCAACCCGGACGAGTTTCGAAAGTATTTAAAGATACTTATTAGCAAAATGGTGAGCACTACTCATAGTCAGTTGGTACGAAGAACGATTGCTTTTGAGAGCAAAATATACTAACAATCGTAGAAATTTCTATTCAGGCTTCAGACTTCTATTCATATAACAAAAATTCCCCTCTTCGATAAGAGATAACGTCGCACTGCATTTCTCTAACGTTTATCGCAGAGAAAGCAGCTTTTATTGAAACCGGGAAATCGCAACTGTTGCTGCTGTGACTGCTGCTGCTGTGATCTGTGTGTGGATCGAATGAGCAAAGTAAGTTAGTATGTCGGCAGATAACACTAACTTTTTCATTTTTGATCTGTAAGCGCTTTTACAAGCAACCGCGACGACAATTACAATGACAGAGTGAAGTATGGTACAAGGAAAGTTGACAAGTAGTCTGACGAGCAATAAATAGTCGAGACAACATTCTTCCTATGTCGAGAGCAAATTTGAAAAATCATAAGTATTCTCTCTTCTTCTTACTTTTAAACCAACGTTTATACGCATTACACTAATTCATGTAAACAGTACATAAATGCAATCATACTTTCAGTTCATTCATTCATTCATTCATTTCGCACTCGTATACTCTGGCAGTTTATGCGACTTTATAGGATCTCTCTTAATGGAGTGCATATTTGTTTAGGCCGCTTAATCTGCTTCATATAGACACATACACACACACACACACATTATATGTATCTTGCATTGATTGTTAGAAAAATTGCACGAGCAAAGTATTTGTTGGGTCGTCAAAATTCGTTTTAAGCCGCGTAGAGCTTTTCCGCTAATTTTTTTTTTTTTTTTTGTGCTTTTTTTCGCTTTTCCCCTTTTTGTTCAACAAACAAAATTGATTTCAATTTCAATTTGAATATTTTTCTACATAAAATGTATTTGTATGAGCTTACGGCTGTGCGCTTGTATGTATTTTTTTAAAGCTTTGCATATTTAACATGGCTTCTACATTACTTTTCTTCTTTTCTCTTTTTTTTTTTAAATGCAAATTGAAAATGTGCACATCCGCCATTTTTTGTTTTTCATTTTGCCTTATAAGAAAAAATTTGTCGAAATAAAAAAAAAAAGCTGAAAGGGTAAATGTGACTGCTAACGTATACTTGAAATGTATAAGAAAAGAGATGAACGACATCAACAGCAACACTAGAGTACAAATAAGAAAAAAAAATATAAAAAAAAAATTCAATTCAATTACTTTTTTGTTTTATGACTTTTAATGTAAATTGTGTGCAATTTTGTTAAACAAAATCAGGAAGCACGAAGAAACAATATGCTGGGACCTGAAGCGTCATTTATCTGCTACCGAACCCCTTTTTGGGTTATATCCTTTCTGCTTTTTTTTTTTTTTTTTACTGATAGTGCTGCCTCGTTACCGAACACGTTCTTACATTTGTTTAACATTTGTTAAATATCTTGCTTTGCATAAAATGTCGCTTCTATTTTTTTTTTTGTTTTTTTTTTTTTTTTTTTTTTTTTTTTTTTTTTTTTTTGCTTAATTTTATTTTTTTTTTCTTTTTTGTTTTTTTTTTTTTATACAGCATGAATTTGAAATTATTCTCGTAACGTTTGCATTTCACATTTTATGTGTTCGTTAGTTTTGTTGGTTCAGTGTTTTCGTTGTTGTTTTCAGTTTTATTTCTAAATCAATCTTTCTACGTAGAAACGTGTAAATGTTGTATTATCGTCATGTTCTGTTATTGCAGATACTCTCCGCTCACGCCGCCCACTACAAATTGGTTTCCTGTCAAAGGTGTTACCATTGCCGACGGCTCATCGCATTGCAATCAATTTATATGTAATGTCGAATTGGAAAAACTCAGTGTTCACTCCTCCGGCTCTTATCGCTGCGAGGTGTCTGGTGATGCACCCGAATTCAAATTAATCGATAAAACGGCCAACATGACTGTAGGCGGTACGTTCATAAACTAAACGGGTAGTTAGTTACTCATTTCTCGCCATCCGACTGCCAACAAATATAATAAATTAAAAATTTAAACGATATTAATGCTTTAAGTCTTCACTAGTTATCCTTCTCATTAGAGAAAAGCATTTTCTCCCCTATTCCGTTATTTACTCCTCTTCAACCGTAACGAATAAAAGTTTAAAAAGGTTACTTTTTAACTGGCAGGACGATAAATTGTTATTTGGTTATTGGGAAGGTTTTCAGAGAGAAGAGGAAATAAGTCGCTTACACAACTGGATTTATCTATATCTATATTTCGCATCGTGTAACACACACACACACACGAAACATAAACGATGCCATAGAAATAGAATGCAAATCTACACTGTTGACAGGAAAGCAAGATTTAGCCTAAGAGCCAAACAAACGCTTAGTTAAAGAAGATGTTGCCTGCCCCACTTGTTTTTTTTTTTATACGTGTTTGTAGCAGATTATGGGTCTCTGAGTGATTAGAAAAAAAAAGTGTATTTATTCGATTATTACATTGGATACCTTGATGTTCAACAATATACGCGAGGTTTAACATACATCGCCTATATGAGAAATATTTTTTAGGTTGCGAAGTTGAAGATGAAGTTAAGATTAATGATGAGCTTTAAGCGGTCGGAGGCTAAAATTATAATTCAAGTTTCGAAATATAGTTGGAATGCGAGTGTTAGGTTTTAAGGTTAACCTTGAAGTTGGACAGAAAGTTCTTAAGCACGGGCCATGTTCTCTTTAACACAAAACCTCTTCATCCGCCTGTGAATACTCAACGCTTCTAGCTGTGGAAGATTGCCCTAATCAGGCTAGCAAGAGCGCCATTTCAAATCAACGCTACACGTACAGAGTTATTAGTAAAGTTCTCAAAATAGCAAGCACCTATGTATATAACGCAGGGACTTTACTCGCAACACGGATTCATTTCTTCGCTCCTCTTAAACCCCTTAAATCCTTTAAGACAACATCTAGAAGCCAAAAGATATTGTATCACCTCCGACATAATTATTGTTAATTAATAAAAAAAAAACAAAAAAACATTTAAAAAATTTTTAAAATTATGCTTAACAAAGCAATATTTTCATAAATTTTAGTTGTAATGAGAGAAACAAGGCTTCAAAGAATTAATAACGCTCTTTGTTAATAAAGACAAATCGATTTTAATTAATTTTTGCATTTAAAAGAAGCATGAGCTGCTTTTGACAGCTTTTTAATTGGCAGTGTAAGCATAGATTCAGTTAAACGATTATTCTCGAAAAGTACACTTACTACTACCATTTACAAATTAGAAGCTTAGAGAAAATCGATTAAATTTTCTTATGAAGAGCAAAATCGTATTGCCATACGCACGATATCAAAACAACAGACACATAATAATTATTAAGCTTCGTAATGAACTTTGTTTTCATATCGACTAAGATGTTTAGACTTTTCAGTACAAAATTCGAAATGAATGAGACTTTTGACAGTAAATACAATTGACTTTAAACAAAAAACAAAACGTAGTGGCTTTGCAAACCCCAACAAAATATTGACGAACGTGATAAACATACTAAATGTGAAACGTATATGAATGTGTACAAGTTCACGCTTCGTGCAAATGCAATGAACCGTTGCTTGGTTGTCACGTTTCCCGTGAATATAGATGACTAAGTTAATTTTATCTCAGGGAGAGAATTCGCAGGGAATCTCCAACAATTCCCTTGTTATTGTTAACTACAATGAAGATTTATTAGGACTCTGTAATTCTATACGCGACTTCTTTCACACATCAAAAACAAAAATAACACTTCAGTGCTTTTGCGAAAATTAATTGCCACGAATCTCAAGAAATACTCGTACGAAACTTTGCAAAACTCTTATCTGGGAATGTCTTGGCGAAAACGCTCTTGCAAGTTCTGTAGAGTGGGTCTTGTTTAAATGAAAGAAACGAATAGTAGCGGCCATTACTAGAGTGCTGTGCTTCAATTCACCATTTGGAATGCTTCGGCTTTTTTTTTTTTTCCAACATGAAATTCATTTGCTATCAAAATCATGAGAAATATAGTTTGCCTTTTTGTTTTTATTTTTTAATGAACGTGAAATTTTACTAAAATATCTTCAAAGCATTTCGCACAGTCCGGCTACAATTTCAATCAATAAGTTCATAGTATAAAATACAAACTTATTGAACCAAGTGTTCATTGATGCTAAACGTAAGCGAAACTATGTAGAGCGGGGAAAAAAGTTTGAAATCTATAAACAAAATACTTCGTATGATTTCTAAAAAGTGTGTAGGCCCGCGTAGGGAATTACAATTCCGCCGTTATAGTGGTTTAAATAATATCTGTTTATGCGTGTGTATCACAATCTTGTCAGATCAAAGTTAGTTTTCGATCAAACATTGGTTTTCTGCGTTCTAAAATGTGAAAAATTTAATAAAGTTTGCGTTGTTTAATGCCATTTATTTGAAATTGGAGAATTTTTATTTTATAATATGACAAAATGACAGCATTTTTACTTATGTTATGACACAATGACAGAACGAAAGGTGGTACAAGCTCATTAAGCAATAAACCCCATACCCGGCAATTCTCAATCGCCGTTTGGCTGAAAGCTCTTCTACGAGTCAAATACACTGAATTTATATAAAATTTTATGGCATTTACTTGCATAGAATGAGAAAATTCAATTCTATGCAAAGTAAGAGTGTAAAAACGTAGTCGTCGTCAGTGCAAAGGATAAACGGTATAGACATTTTAAATGAATAACTTTCGTACTGTATCTAATGTATTGCATTTGATGACATTTTCTTTTGGTTTCGTTTTTTTTTTTTTTTGAATCCTTCAATGGAAAGAAATTTCATTTGTAAAATTCTTCTTTTTTTTTGTTTTATTATTTTTCAATTTCCTGAACACAGAAAAAGTCTCTGTATATGGCGTATGAGTGACATTTAATTCTATTATTTAATAACACTTAAAGAAATGCATACATACGTATATAAGGTGTTATTGCATTGTTCTAAGGATACATAAAATTTATATGGAACGGTTAATGGCTTTGTTTTGTTGCTGCTATTGTCGTCGAAGTAAACGGTTGCTCTCTTCTTCTTCTTTTTTTTTTCATTTACAGTTTTGCCGAAATTTGATCCATTTATCAGCGGTCTTCAACATACCTACAGATACGGTGACCTTATTATGTTGAATTGCAGTTCAGAATGGTCAAATCCCCCGGCGACACTTACCTGGTATATCAACAATAAAACGGTATGTTAGCTTACGACTTATAAGCATACATCCGAACATATGTACGTATTGCTGCCATTTAATCGTACAATATCGCAAAGCACTTTTTCGAATTTTCAGTTTTTAGTTTTGTTTATTCACCAATTCCATGGTTTCTATGTTTTATAACATTTCGGTCTTTTTTCTTGTCTTTTTTTTTTTTTTGGTTTTGTTTTATTTTTGCCAAACAACACATTCACCAGAATGTACACAATAAATAGAAAAGCAATTTAAACTATCCTGAGTGCATGTACACATATGCATACATTTGTGTATAGCTGCTATATACACTATGTATATATATATATTTATACATATATATATATATAACGACTAGATGGTGATGATGTTCTTTGGATACTGTAAAAACTTTATCTCTCTCTATCTCTCTCTCTCTCCCTCTTTAATGTCTTATCCCTCTCTATTTCCCCCATCGGATAGTCTTTATACGCTGGTGATCTGTGATTTATTGCATGATGCGAGCTTTGTATAAGCGAAAGTGTTTTTATCCCTTTACGTATCCTTGATTAAAATTGTAATGTAAAGTGTAGTTTGGCATTTAACAAACCCACACAAATTACGAAAGGGAAAGTCAATGAAAAATTTTCTGCAATATAAAGTAAAATGCATTCAAATCTTTACCAATCATTCGCAAATAAATTGCGTTTCCTTTGTATCTTTCCTGTCAATCATAGGGCTTCGATATCTTAGGCATTTCCTATACTCACGCCAAAGCTACCTACACAGTGCTTACTGTGCTTAGCAGACCGTTTCATTTATGCAATATATCGTACATGCTGCAACCATCCGTCCACACACACATCCATTGAATGATCCGTCGGTTAACGTCCTGCTCATTGCAGTTTGCAAATGCGCTAAACAGCGTTTAGTAATTATGATGTGATGAACATGAGACTTATGCGCGCTTGCATTTCTAATATTAAATATTCAAACATTTCATCGATAATATCTCAATTTACTTCTTGCTCTTATTCTTGCTCATCTTTCACTTAAATATTTCATGGAAAATCTGTGCCATCATTATCCGGCATTGATGATAAACGTCAACGTCAACGTTAACGTTCTCGTCAAACGGTTAGGCACCCCTGACAACTATACAACCGCAAATCAATGAAATCACACGCAGCACAGATGGTTTCCTTCTTTATGCCAGCAATTTGCAATTACGCATACACATCGACGATCCACGTTTCATAGCGAAAAGTGAGGTTTTCGAATTGAAATGTGTTGCGGACATAATGGCCATCGCCAGTGTACGGAGGGAGAGTAAAATTACAGCCACCATTTTGGCTTTACAGGACACAGCCAGCCATAAACAACGTCTAATGGGCCAGAGTAGTACAAGTGGCGGCGATAGTCTATTACGGTTAGCGTTCATTGCCGGTAAGTATAAAACTGTTTTGGGATGTTCATGGGTTCGCGGTGCACCGTACACCGGAACACATTTGTATACCTCTCTCACCCCATCAAACACACACACCGCGTCTCATCTCACCTCATCTCATCTCATCTCATCTCATCTCATATCTCACCTATACGATATTGTAGCATTCTCGGCATTTATATTATGCTCACGTTCGTTCAACACATTTGGTCATTCATCTTTCTAATGTTTTGTTCAATGCGTATATGTTATTGTTCTTGCTGTTGTTGTTTTGTAATATTTGTTGAACTATTTACTGTATGTGATTTACCTGTAGTGGCTCTGTTCTTGCTTGGCTTAATTTCAGATGCCTCTCCGAGCGTACAGTGTTTAATTTATGCGCTAATCATGTCGATGTCGGTGTCTTTATGGCAAACAGGTTGTTGGAGTTAGCTGCTGCATTCGGTCTAATACAAAATAAGTTAACATTTAAGGGAAATGTTTAGAGCGTATATAGTGTTTAAAATTGTGTATGATTGTATGTGTATGACGAAATAATTAAAATGATGATTATGCTGATGATGATGATGATGGTGATGGTAATGAACAAGAGTTGAAATGTATTTTTAGCTAAATGAATTTTCAAAGCAAATAAAGTTTGATTTAACGAAAAATTCAAAAAAATGAATCCCAAGTCATTCTATTTGCGACTCGTTCATAGAGTTTTGGTAACTGAAAAGTGAGTATGTAGTAATGTACTTATTTTTTATTTTTTTTTTATTTTTTTTGCATTTCGTTGCAAGGATCTTTACATGATGAACATTAATGCTTTACAGCTTATGGGCTCGACATATAGAAATGAAATAAACATCGACATATATTCAATTTAAGATCCTGCTTAGCCTCTCTTATTCCCTATATGCAGATCATGGGCGAGGAAATATTTAGTTACTCATACAGTGATTAATGTAATTAAAAAGAAAAAAGCTGGCGTTAGTAACAAACGTTATATTTCCCAGGTCTCCTCATATTTAGTTTATTTAGATCTTTAGATCTTTAACACGGATAGGTTCATCAATAAGTAGCAAACATTTAGTACTTAAGCAACCAGCAATCAGTGAATATTTTTTCTTTACTCTTTCTCTGCGCTTAGTCTCCCGTTGCGGAAATTATCGTTGCATTGTTGCGCAAATACATTTGCAAAAATTCTACTATAAGAGTTGCTTGAGCTTAGGGTAATGAAAGGTGCTGCTCCTCCTTTTTCTTTTCTAGCGATCAGTCACTCAAGGGAGAAAGAAGGGGAAAGAAGAAGGATTTAATGTGATCGCAGCCCGGGAAGTATGCTTTCCAAGGTTGAATTGATTCCTCCTAACTGCGACTATTTGCCACTCGTAACTGAACTATAACCTAACGCGGTGAGAATTAAACACATGTATGCCGACTTAACAGCCATGTTTTGCACTTGTACGCTCCAAACTTCTGCTCAAACTTCACTCAACTTACAAATTGTCCTAAAATCATGCATTTAAGATATTTATAAAAATCTATTTACAACGTTGCCTGATTGTCGAGGCGTTGAGCTCCAGAAATTCAGAGCGGGAAAATTTCAAACCTGGGAGAAAATCGTCCATTACTAGGAATGTACTTGCTCTGAATGGCCACCTACCGGTATGCCCAATCAAAACACCCAAACTAAGTGCTCCCTTAAGGTGGGTGAACGGATAAAAAGAAACTCCCATGCGTTTCAACGTACGAGCAATCGTTCGGTGCCCTCCCACGAAGCCAAGCACAATCAATTCCATCGCCATATTTCCCAGTTGGGAGTAGTTATCGTAACGCCTATTAATGCTGTCATAAAATGAAAATTTTCTTTTGATTTATGAAATGATGGGGAAAAAAACCAACAAATATATGTACACACGCACCTACATAAGCTTCAGATACAAATTAAACAAGTGTACGCCTGCTTATAAAACACTAATACTTTTATGAGAAGGCAGCTTTTATTTATGTGATTTTGGAAGATGCTGTAAATTTTTAAAAGAAATTACTTTTGATTTTTTTTTATTATTATTTTGTTTGTCCTCCCTCTTTATGTAACGCATTTGCTAAGTTGTTGTTGTTGTTGCTGTTGCCGCTGTTTAGAGAACTTGAGATTACTGTAGGGAAATGTTTTTACTTTTTTGTCCTTTTTTTTTTTGCTTCTTCAGCAATGTAAGCACAATGTTTTATCACGTAATGTGTTTTTTCTTTCTGGTTGTTTTTCGTTCGGTTTCATACTTACCGTCACAGATGAACGCACCCTAATACTATCGAATCAGTTGTAACAACTACGCTATTTCCATATAATTTGTAATATTTGCGATTATACATTAACCTAACTGTGAGTGACATCCGTTGCAGAGAATTCAAGTGTCTTCCAATTGTCGGTCAATAAATGTCTTAAATCGGTTAAAGAGCCCTATACAAATGGAACAGAGTATCTTTGGTGTCTTTGCTTTGAAGATCTTCTGAAATTATGATACATCAGTGATAGCCTATACCAAGTTAACCACATCTTAGCTATCCTTTCTATCTATCGTTCATACGCTAGTGATGGATGTTAAGAGATTCGGCCAAGACCGAATTTAACTTCTTTCCTCTTCATTTTGTAATCTTCTTAAACGAGAGTTTTCCCTCTTTATTTAGTTTTCTTTTGCTTTTTGTCATTTTTTGCATTCCAATCTCCTCAAAATAACATCAAAGATATGTGTTTCGGAGCAAAAATTTCCTTTTTAACATTATTTACTTGATTTATGGCAAGATTTTGCCCAAAATAGGTCAGCCGATATAATGTAAAATAAGACATGATGCGTATTGCAAACATATTGCAAGCAGGTGGATGCTCTTAGACATACTAAGAATTTTACACTGCCTTCGCTGCGTCGTCGCCGTCATAAACTGCCAGATTACCGGCACAATACTCATTAATTTCATCGAACAAAGTTGAAAACTTGAACAAATGCAAAGAGATTTGACCAATCCTGCTCTTTTTGGCTTCCAGTTTAAAGTGATAAAAGTGCTAGTTTTCATCTAAAATTAGTGTGAAAAGAGCGGCTACTACCTGCTGGCTTTTATTAGTACCGGCATGATATTTTCTAGCGATCAAACTGAATCAGAGGAGATTCCTTAGCGTTGTTCACCAAAATTTACTGTCATTGGCTAACTAGCCTTCGATGTTTTCAAAAGAAATTTCCTTTTATATTAATTTTTTTGTTGGTGTTTTTTGAGAACATTTCTGTGGTGCGATGCTTAAAACGAAACATAAAGCACAAAAATGACAACAAGGATAACTTTGCTTTACCACGCGCGCACTCAAACATTTGCTTACAATATAAATTCATAATTTACAATCCGCAATCACAATAGGTGAGAGGAGGTTAACAGATTATCTGTCTGTCTGTCTGTCTTTCTATTTATTCGTGCTGCCGCCTGTTTGTTTACCTACGGTTAATACTCCCAAAAACAAGAAAAATTAAAGGTACAGGCTCATGAAAACAATACGAAGCAAAATACATCTAAACTGGCCTAAAGGACTAAGATCGTTTGGAAAAGTACATCATTTTGTACAAACAACCTATAAAGCTTTCTTTAGGTTATGAAAAATTTCGCTTGAAATAAAAGAGTAGACCTTATTGACTCTTGGATGCTGATCCGGTAAAGCTTCACAGGTAAACATCTCTCACCGAATAGTGATTAATTTTGCCTAATAAATATTAAATACTAACCCTAGTACAGTACATCGCCTCCCTCATCCCTTTCGGCTTCTCTCTGCTAAAAGAGCTAATACCATCCTTTAAATCCATACTGTCCTGACGTGTATTAAGCGCAAAAAGAATGAAAAAACAATTTTACATTATCTCGTTCGTAGCACATATTTGTCTTATATTATGTTCAAGAAAAATGCCTGTCTTTTCAAAATTTAAGCTTTACTACTTGCAGGGCTTTTCATTAGGTTTTATTTCATTGTGAGTAAGCCTTACCTTCGGACAAGTAAGACATGCTTTCAATTAATCAATTGTAAAAGTTAAGTTCGCCAAAACGACGACTCGAAACGACGTCTAAGCCAATTATAGGACACTTTAGGAAATTATATTTTTTCTCTTCTACTTTACTATCGCATAATATTTTTTATAATTTATTTGTTTTCTTAGGAAGAAAAACGACTAGAAATATCCACATATAAACATATACACGTCATTCTGCCCATTATCTCAACATTAAATTTGATTTTATGTAAAAGAGCTGGCAATCTACAATAATTAATCAAAGCAACACCACATTCACTCCCACAGCCAGTAAATAATTAGATTGGAGAAAGAAAAGCAAGGAGAAAAGAAAAAATCAGATAAACGCTTTAAGGGGCATTCATGCCTACATAAATGCTAAATGAGTAACAGACACCAGCAGAATATTAACATTAATATACGTCGTGTTTATTACAATATGATGGCGCCTTTAGACTAACCTTCCATCTTCTTCAAATAAATAAGCTTTTACATCGCGCCACGGTGTCATATACTATAACAATGCCAAAGACAGCAGCAACAATCAGACTCTAAAGTCTTAAGTAATGTGATAAATCTTTTCGAGAAAAAAACCTAAAACTTTTTTCATGCTTTTCAGCTCATTCTCATAATACGAACGCTCCCTTATTGCTACGGTCACAAGGTTGTGTTAATACAAGGATTTAACAGAACAACACTTAAATGATGGGCAGGCCGCCTGCACCGCTTACTTTTGTCAACAAGACACTTCAAATGAATTGCATATCATCTTAGACATAATTTCCCCGATTGCTTTATATCGTATTATTAACTCCCTTTTAATTTCGGTTAAACATTTCAAGGGAATTTCTTTTAATGTTCGTAAAGTGCCTGGTGTTCAAATGATTTCAACAAAAAACGGGAAAAAATATATTTAGCGTTGGCCGCCATATTATTAAAGCAGTGCAAGCTTTGTAAATATTTCGAAATTCTCATGTAATCCTTTTGATAGATATAAATGAATGCTATTTTATTTGTAATCGAATTATTTTTCATTGCTCCTCTCAACGTCATTAAAGTTCGGATAGAAAGGTACATCTTGTCATATGTAAGATTCTCTTTAACTTGCAGATAGAAAGCGACGAACAAATGTGGAAAGATGGAATATTTATAACAACAAAACGTTACCAATCTATTCGCTCTCATTTGTTACAGAAACGGAAAATCAACTTAAGTAATAGGTGTTGAAAATTCCCGCAAAGATCTAACTTCTCTTGTCTTCTTCTTCTTTTCTTTCTACTTTAACTGCAATAAAAGAAAAGAAAACTAGATATCAGCTTCCAGATGTCTCCGATGGCGAGTACAGGGATGAACTCAGCTCAAGCTCAGCCTGGTTCGTATATATTTTCTTGTCTGCGGCACCCGTGCACAGTTATGGGGTTTTAGTTGACACAATGTGTTTTGCGTGTTCCTCCTTTCGAGCAAAAAGAAGCAAATTTTCGGCATATGTCAAGTACCGGACGGGTGAGTAGGCGAATAAAGCGATGAATAAAAACAGGAGAAAGTCGAATAAGT